AGCGGGCAGGTCAGGAGGCGGTGGGCGCGTTCCCTGGCTTGGACTGCTCCACGCAGCTGAGGGTGAGCAGGGGTAACGGGGAGGCAGTGACAAGCTCCTACTAAGCGCCAGGGGCAGGCAGAGGCCCAGGGCAGCGGCTGGTGGTCTCAGCTGCTGGGAAAAGGAGGCTCCAGGCGGTGGCATCGTGCTGAGCTCCAGGTAGAGGCTCCCCGTGTGGGGAGGGTCGGGGCCGGGTGTCCCTGAGGCCCAGGCACCTGGGCCCTCTGAGCCCACAACCAAGTGTCTCCAGCTCTCCCAAACTCGCAGCTGACTTCCTTCCACCCGTATTTTTCACTTTTTAGAAAAATATTTTTATTGATTTCAAAGAGGGAGACCTAGGGACCAGGAGGTCAGGGTTCGATTCCCGGCCAGGGCACACGCCCGGGTTGCAGGCTCCGTCCCCAGTGGGGGGCGGGCGGGGGGCAGCTGAGCCGTGATTCTCTCTCGTCATTGATGTTCCTCTCCCTCTCCCTCTCCTTTCCTCTCTGAAATCAGTAAAAGTATCTACAAATAAACAAATAAAAATAGAAAATACTTTAATATGTTTTTTATTGGTTTCCCAGAGAGGAAGGGAGAGAGAGAGAGAGAGAGAGAAACATCGGGCCAGGAGGTTCTGTAACCAAGAACGGAGAGCACGCCACCTCCCCGACCCAGACCATCTCTGAACCACCCTGGTCCACGCAAAGGGCCGGGTGGGAGGGTAATTACCCAAAAGGTGCAGGTTGGTCTCCAGGCGGATGGCCGACTGAGAGAGGAGCTCCTCGCGGTTGTCCACGGCGGATTCCGCCTCGAGGTGGCTCTGCAGCCAGCAGGCGTACTCCTCCTTACTCAGCACCTGAGAGGGAGAGAGAGAGAGAGAGAGAGAGAGAGAGAGACAGGACCCGCTGAGTGCGTGCCTCATGGAGCCCCTGGGGACACGTCGGCGGCCCCCACTCACCCTCTTCTTTTATTTTACACTAGACGCCCGATGCACAAAATTCCTGCAAGGGGCTCAGCCCTTGCAGCCCCGCCCCCTGCCCACTGGTTGTTCAGGAAGGTCGTTCCGGAAGGTCATTCCGCCGTCCAGTCTAATTAGCATGTTAGCTCTTTATTACATAGGATATATATTTTAAAGATTTCCTTTTTGTTTCTATTTTATTTTTTTGTTACTTGATATTTTCCCCTCGAGTGTGGAGAGCGTGGAAGGGAGGGGGAGAGACACAGAGAGAGAAACATCGATGTGAGAGAGACGCATCGCTTGGCTGCCTCCTGCATGCCATCGGACCAGGGCCGGGGAACCTGCAACCGAGCCAGGTGCCCTCGACGGGAATCGAACCCGGGACCCTTCAGTCCCCAGGCCGACGCTCTGTCCACTGAGCCACACCGGCCAGGGCCTCTGTTTTCTTTTCTAAATATACTTTGTGTTGATGTCAGAGAGGAAGGGAGAGGGAACGAGAGAGAGAGGAACATCAATGATGAGAGAGAAGCATGGATCGGCCGCCTCCTGCACCCGGAGCCCGCAACCGGGAATCGAACCCTGACCTCCTGGTTCCTGGGTGGACGCTCAACCGCTGAGCCACGCCCGCCAGGCCCCCACTCACCCTCTTGGCGATGCACAGGGTCCGCAGGCCCTCCACCGCGTACAGGTTGAGGTAATTCTGGGTCTTGCTGCGGATTTTTTTTTGATGCCTCCCCCTGGCGTCATCTAGGTTGGAGCGGAAGCAGAAAAGCGGGTGAGCAAGTAGGAACCTGGGGAGGAGGGGCCGGGGATCTCAGGAGGGGGGCTGGGGATGCACCCTCGCCATCGGAGGGGCCTGGGGTACCTGGGGAGGAGGGGCTGGGG